GATTTCCTGGCCACAGTCTGCATCTGCAGTAATCTTTGCACCTAGAAATACAAAGTCTGTCACGGCCTCCACATTTTCTCCCTCTATTTCCCAGTTGTCAATCATTCTTGTTGCCATAATCTTGGTTTTTTTTATGTTTAGCTGCAACCCAGCTTTTGCGCTTTCTTCTTTCACCTTGATTAGAAGGCTCCTCAGCTCCTCCTCGCTTTCGGCCATCAGAGTGGTGTCATCTGCATATCTCCCCCCCCCGGCTACATGCCTGCATATAGGCAATTATTCAATGCCTTAAGGCACATACAAAACATTAAGCTTAAAATAAATAAAATTTAATTTAATATATATTAAACATTTAAAAACATTACATTCAGTGTTAAAATCTTGACATCCAGAAATCATACATCTAGAAAGGTACCGCACAATTAAACAGGAAATAACACTTTCAACCCAGGAACAGAAAACTTTTCAAATGTTGTTACATAGTGTAATAGTTTCTTTTCCACCTGCAGTTCTTTTAGACATCTTTGTCCTTGTTAGTTTCCCATTTTATATATCAGTACATATTTCTGTAATAGTAAGATTAATATCCTCTTCATTAAACTATCCAAACAAGAGAATGAGAAATGTCTGCTGCGCCAATTAGCTAAGATGCATGTTGTTTTTACAAGCTTATAAACTATTTAAAACTAATTATCCCTCCCATAAGCCCCAGTAGGAAACTGAACTAAAAGCTCTGTGGATATTGTTATGTATGATCAACTTTTGTTCCCTGTGATTTCGGCTTGATACAGATGAACCCCTTGGGTTCTCTGAAGGGCATTCGATTATGACCAGCAAAACGCTTGTAATTGTGAGAAGGTGGTATGTAACGCTTTTTCCCCCTCCCATTAAAACATGAAAAAATAAGGTCTTGACACTCTATTCTTTCAACAAAATGCTAGCCTCCAACCTTTCTCACCTTGCCTGTTCTATCTTCCTTTAGCTTTGATCATCTCACAGCCACCTACTGCTCTGCTGCCAAAACTATTAATGTTTCTCATTGCTTTTTCTCTAAGATCCCCTACACTGGATTTCTGTCCAATCACAGATCTTGTCGAAGTGTCTCGTCTTTACTATCAAACCCATATTTTTCATTTTTAGAGCCAATCCTGCCATTAAGCAGAGTGATGCAGCAACCACTTCAAGCTAAAGATTTCAAATGTCATTAAAGCACAGTAGATTCTGCAACATCCTTGGCTATGACCTTTGCTTGCCCAGCACGGCCAACTGAAGGCTTTCTGCTCCCAGAAACAACTCTGTTCTTGCTAACTGTTATGCCAAGAACTGCTTCTCACAGTATTTCTGTGATGCCACATTCATAACTTAATTCAAAATCTTTGTTTACGTTTGAATAATCCTTAGTCCCAAAATCCCACTGGATTTAAGACAACATAAATATAGGTTGTTGTAGGGTTTTTTTTCGGGCTATATGGCCATGGTCTAGAGGCATTCTCTCCTGACGTTTCGCCTGCATCTCTGGCAAACATCCTCAGAGGTAGTGAGGTCTGTTGGAACTAGGAAAAAGGGTTTATATATCTGTGGAATGACCAGGGTGGGACAAAGACTCTTGTCTGCTGGAGCTAGGTGTGAATGTTTCAACTGACCCCTTGATTAGCATTTGATTGCCTGGAAGTGCCTGGAGCAATCTTTTGTTGAGAGGTGATTAGACGTCCTTATTTGTTTCCTCTCTGTTGTTGTGCTGTTCTCATTTTAGAGTTTTTTAATACTGGTAGCCAGATTTTGTTCATTTTCATGGTTTCCTCCTTTCTGTTGAAATTGTCCACATGCTTGTGGATTTCAATGGCTTCTCTGTGTAGTCTGACATGGTGGTTGTTAGAGTGGTCTAGCGTTTGTGTGTTCTCAAATAATATGTGTGTCCAGGTTGGTTCATCAGGTGCTCTGCTATGGCTGATTTCTCTGGTTGAAGTAGTCTGCAGTGCCTTTCATGTTCCTTGATTCATGTTTGGGCAATGCTGCGTTTAGTGGTCCCTATGTAGACTTGTCCACAGCTGCATGGTACACGGTAGACTCCTGCAGAAGTGAGAGGATCCCTCTTGTCCTTTGCTGAATGAAGCATTTGTTGGATTTTCTTAAACATAAATGCTTACTCCTCCCCCCCCCCCCCACATAGTTGTTTGTGCCTTAGTCTTACTCACTTCCTTCAGTGGTTTTTTTTTGTATTTCTTTCTAGCATTTAAGAACCTTCAGGTAGTATGACCTATCCTCCTTCAAAAAACATTTTTGTCGAGCTCATTATACATAGATGATCCCACTGTCATTCATAAAAACATAGATACAGTGATACCTTCACTCAAGAATTGAATCCATTCTGTGACAGTTTTCTTAAATCAAAAGTTTTATTATCTCAATGTTTTGTTTTGTTTTTTTTTTTTTGTCATGTCAGGAGCAACCGCTCCTGTTGTGAGAGAATTGGCCGTCTGCAAGGACGTTGCCCAGGGAACGCTCGGATGATTTTGATGTTTTATCATCCTTGTGGGAGGCTTCTCTCATGTCCCCGCATGAGGAGCTGGAACTGATAGAGGGAGCTCATCCGCCTCTCCCCAGATTCGAACCTGCGACCTGTCGGTTTTCAGTCCTGGCGGCACAGGGCTTTAACCCACAGCGCCACAAGGGGCTCCATCTCAAAGTGAATTTTCCCATTGAAATGCTATTAATCTGTTATGGGCCCCCAAAAACCACCCCATTTTTTATTTGGTTATGTGTTTTTAAATAAGAATTTATAAATAATTTATAAATAAGAAATAATAATAATAATAATTAATTAATTATTAAACTTTATTTGTACCCCGCTAGCATCTCCCGAAAGACTCGATGCGGCTTACAAAGGCCAAGGCCTCAACACAATAACAACAGACAATAACAATACAATGCAAGCAAATTAAAAACATTAGCAATAACAAAAACAAAACATTACACTGTTAGGCAATAAAACCAGGGCCGGGCCTATAATGTATAAATGCACATTCATAAGGAAAATAAAAAAGAAAGTTCAACTTTAAAATGGTAGAAAATAAAAAAATTAAATTCAGTTTTAATAATAGAAGCACCAAGTTGTGTCCAGGGACCACATTTGAGGCAACAAAATGTGTTGACCAGTGTAAGAGCAAGGCAACACAGCATCATTTTCTTCATACTGTACAGTATTAATTCTAGCAAACCTTCCTCCCTCTCTTGTTCTCTGTCTTTTTGAAGCAAAACATACAGTACCAGGAATGAAAAGCACACAAAGTGAACTAACTCAAACTTCCGCAGTTGACAACAATGTCCCAAAGTGGAGAAGAGCACATGGCAAACAGGCAAAGGCATGCAGGCTGAGGCACTGAGGCATGAGGTACAGTGGCTATTCCAGTCTGCTGGAAGCCCTCTATTCTCAGGCTGAGGCTCTGCTGCACCAGGGTCAACTGCAATCCCTGGAGTGGAACCTCCAGATTGGACTTCTCCCAGAATGTTCAGGGGAAGCAATCAAATGGAGTTGGAATTTTTGCCTTGCAGGAAGAGGAGCCAGAGCCGCTCCGTCTAGGAACCCAGTGCATGTTTTGTTTCTCTCTGCCTTCCTATTAGAACTGCTTTACAGCCGCATCACAGTAAAGCATGGATCCACTTTAAATCTGGTGTCTGCCTCCTGAAAAATTCTGGGGTTTGTAGTTTAGTGAGGCCCAGGACCTGTCTGGCTGAGCAGTTCAAAGGCCCCTCCCTAAACTACAAACCCCAGAATTCTGCAGGAGGCAGAAACTGGATTTTAAGTGGATCCGTGCTCTAGTGTGATGAGGTTCTTAGAGAGTCAAGAGTCCTCTTTAGCACTGTTCGTAGCTCAAAACAGTGTTCAGATGTCAAACGTCGCTCTAGGCCAAATGAGGATGCATAAATTAAAACATTTATCTTGGGACATTTGTATTTAGAGGTTCTACTTTATGTAATTAATGTATGGAAAATATACTTGAATACTGGAAGGATCCAGGGAGTTTGAAAGAGGAAAACCTAAAGGTGCAGGAAATCATTTGAATCAGACCAGGCCCCCTTCTACATTGCCATATAAAATCCAAATTATCTTCTTTAATAATCAGGAATATATGGCAGTGTAGAAGGGACCTAAATGTGTTCCTTGCCCTGGTAAATTCTCATCACTTGACTCATTCTGGCTTTTCTTTCTTGGGCACACTGTTAATTGTGATCTATGCTAGTGGATGAAGATCTAAGGAGATTTGGATGCCCCCTTGAATGATATGCATTATGTTCTGATGTTTTATCAGAAGAAAAAGCACAAAATGTTCTCTGTCTCTATTTGCCAGCTGTTTTCCACAATTTTACCTACATATGAACGGTTTGAGACCCGCCTACCTGCGTGACCGCATTTCTGTATACGAACCCACACGATCTCTTCGATCATCTGGAGAGGCCCTGCTCGTGCTCCCACCTGTATCGCATGCACGATTGGTGGGGACGAGAGGGCCTTTTCAGTGGTGGCCCCTCGACTCTGGAACTCACTTCCTAAGGACATCAGGCTTGCCCCCAAATCTGAGGAGGAGCTTGAAGACGTGGTTGTTCCAGTGTGCCTTCCCAGAATAATAATCCCATAGCACTTTGTCCTCCAAAGAACTTTATATTGTTTTAGGTCTGCTTGTATGTTTCCACAAACGCCCCATCACTTTTTCACCCATGTCCAGCATTATTTTTTAAATTTTTAATTACATTCGGCCTACCCATAGATTTTAAAGTGTGTTGTTCTACTGTTAATGCTTATTTTATTGTTTTATTGTTTTGGTTTGATTTTGATTGCTTGTACTGTTGTTACTGCTTGTATTGTTGTGTTATGGGCTCGGCCTCATGCAAGTCGCACCGAGTCCCTTGGGGAGATGGTAGCGGGGTATAAATAAAGTTTATTATTATTATATTATTATTACATATCTTAACTGGCCTGCTGTTGTTTCTGTTGTTTTTTTTAGATTGATGTGATTATAACTTTGGGTGGACTTGAAGGTCGATTTGACCAAATCATGGCAACTGTGGAGACTCTCTTTCATGGAATTAAGATAACACCCTTTCCCATCGTAGTAATTCAGGAGAGGTCCCTGATATACCTGCTGCAACCTGTAAGTAAAATGAAGTGTGCATTTAAAAATAAACATAAATGGCTTTAAATGTTTTATTCAGCTAACATGATTGACATAAATTGGAAAGTTGCATTTACTTTACCACTGATTTAAGATTGACTGTGTTCCCTCATCTCTTTTTGAAAACCGTATACCAGTTATATTCTACCTTGTTCATGCCCAGCATTATTTTTAAAAATTTTAAATTATTACATTTGGCTTGGCCATTGGTTTTTAAATGTTTGTGTGTTACTGTTTATTGTTTTTTTGTTTATGTGATTACATTAATTGTATTGTATTGATTGTTTTTGTTATTGCTCTTGTTATTGATGTACTGTGGGTTTGGCCTCATGTAAGCCGCACCGAGTCCCTTGGGGAGATGATAGCGGATGTGACGGCGCGAGTGGTGCCACCTATGTGTAGAACTGTTAGCTGCAAGATTTAAACTGTTGTATCATGCTTAATCCTGCCTTTTTACCCTGCTTATGTATAGTTGTATGGATTGGTTATTTATAGCTGTCAATCAGTACTGTTTGGCTCCACCTCTTCCTGTAGGAGGGTAGTATTTATTTGTCGTGTCAGGGCAACCAGTCAATTATATTACATTTCTAAGGCTAAGATGGAAACTTCAGTCCTTTTACTTAGATTTAAGATAGTATAATCCTGACTTTTTGAATAATATATCTCTCCAGGTGCAGTCTAATGCAGAAAAATCTTGTCATAATCTGATTGTCTATAAAACCTGTTTTAATTGGCTGTTAGATTTTTTTTCAGATGAATGGTTGCTTAATGTTTCCCTGATCTGCTATATTCTATTTCTCATTTGCTTTTAGCTTAAAACTCCAATAAGGGGTATGACGTTGCAAAAATAAATTTTTAGATATAGATACTCAGCCTATTCTTATGGACTAATATCCTCACTAAATAATAATTACAGTAATATTCTGTGTAATGAAAATGAATCATTAAAACGATGGAATCCCTCTTTATGTAACAACCCATATCCTATTATGCTCAAAACTCTACTAATGTCAATTATCCTTAGATTAAAATTCATATCAAGTTCATCAGCCTCTCTAAAATCATTGCTAGCCATAGTCAGAATGCAGAAAGTTTCATATACATCTTTTCTTATTTTTGCTCTTTCACTTTTTCAGAAGTACAGAAACAGTCCTCTCTATATACCAAGCACAAATTATCTTTTATCTGTGATTTCTGCAGCAGATAGTAAAATTTATAATAAAGAAATAAGATAATTAATGAGGTTTTATCTTGCACTAGCCATCCCTTGCCACACATTACTGTGGCCCTGTCTGTGTATATGTATTTTGTGTGTTTGTGTGTATAAGTGTCTGTATATATTTCTGTATATGTGTATATGTATGTGTTTATATATGTGTGTGTGTGTGTGTGTGTGTGTGTGTGTGTGTGTGTGTGTGGTTTTGCGCATGTGTTGTAATGGGTTTTTTGTTTTTGGCTTTTTAAGTCTCTTCTGCTATGTTTTTCCATGTTTTTATGAGTGATGGTCAATTGTTGGCCTGATAGGTGTATTGTGTCCAAGTTTGGTGTCAATTCGTCCAGTGGTTTTTGAGTTATGTTATTCCCACAAAGCAACATTACATTTTTATTTATATGGACTAGCCATCCCCTGCCACGTGTTGCTGTTGCCCGCATGGGGGTTCTGTATGGGAGGTTTTCTATTGTTGGTGGGGTTCAGAATGCTCAGTGATTGTAGGTGAACTATAAATCCCAGCAAATACAACTCCAAAATGTCAAGATTCTATTTTCACCAAACTCCACCAGTGTTCACATTTGGGCATATTGAGTATTCATGTAGAGTTTGATCCAGATCCATCATTGTTTGAGTCCACAGTGATTTCTGGATGTAGGTAAACTACAACTCCAAAACCAAAGGACACTGCCCACCAAACCCTTCCAGTATTTTCTGTTGGTCATGGGAGAACTGTGTGCCAAGTTTGGTTCAATTCTATTGTTGGTGAGGTTCAGAATGCTCTTTGATTGTAGGTGAACTACAAATCCCAGCAGCTACAACTCCCAAATGACAAAATCAATTTTTGAGTGAAGGACATACATTGGGTTGTTAGGTGTCTTGTGTCCAAATTTGGTGTCAATTTGTCCAGTGGTTTTTGAGTTCTGTTAAACCCACAAACGAACATTACAATTTTATTTATATAGACTAGCTGTCCCCTGCTACGCGTTGCTGTGGCCCACTCTGGTGGTCATGAGGATTCTTTGTGGGAGGTTTGGCCCAATTCTATCATTGCTGAGGTTCAGAATGCTCTGATTGTAGGTGAACTACAAATCCCAGGAACTACAACTCCCAAATGTCAAGATTCTATTTTCCCCAAACTCCACAGTGTTCAGATTTGGGCATACTGACTATTCGTGTAGAGTTTGGTCCAGATCTATCATTGCTTGAGTCCACAGTACTCTCTGGATGTAGTGAACTACAACTCCAAAGGACACTGCCCACCAAACCCTTCCAGTATTTTCTGTTGGTCATGGGAGAACTGTGTGCCAAGTTTGGTTCAATTCCATCATTGGTGGGGTTCAGAATGCTCTTTGATTGTAGATGAACTATAAATCCCAGCAACTACAACTCCCAAATGCCAAAATCAATTTTTTTTTGAGTGAAGGACATACATTGGGTTGTTAGGTGTCTTGTATCCAAATTTGGTGTCAATTCGTCCAGTGGTTTTTGAGTTCTGTTAATCCCACAAACGAACATTACATTTTTATTTATATAGAAGATTAGGTTGAGTTCAAGTAAGATTTTAGTACAGGAGGAAAAGATGGGTTGCTTGTCTTCATAAGAGGAAGGGTTTGTCTTACCAATAGAGTAGTCACAGAAAATGCCTGACAGCTAGCCAAATCCTCCCTCTGTTCAGCAAGCTAGGTTGGGTTCAAAGCAAATGGAACAATGGAGAAGGCATCAGAAAGAATATAGCTATGGAGTGCTTTCCTTAAATAATGACTGGGATATGGCCATTGGCTGCACATATTATGTATAAAAGAAAGTTACAAATATCAACTAACTCGCTGAGTGGAACTTCAGACTTCCTGTTGACAGCTTGGCTTGTGAAAGTATCGGAGAGATTGGTGACACATGGACTGTTTAAAGACTCCCTGAAAACCTCACTTTGATTTCTTGACCCTGGACTATTTGACACTGGATACCGTTTCCTTGGTTCTTGGTTTTTGACAGGTAATGACTCCTGACTGGAGAACTGAACCCTGTTTGCACTTAAGAGCAGGACACTTGGATCTGAAAGTCTATATTGACTTCTGCCCTATTCCTGCTTCTGCTGTGTCAGAGAGTGGAACTGCTTGAAGTTATCTACACCAGGGGTCCTCAAACTTTTTAAACAGAGGGCCAGGTCACAGTCCCTCAAACTGTTGGAGGACCAAATTATAATTTGAAGCATATCATATTTGTAGTGCAAAAAAACACTTAAAAACAATACAATAATTAAAATGAAGAACAATTTCAACAAATATAATCCTATTAGTGTTTCAATGGGCAGTGTGGGCCTGCTTTTGGCTGATGGGATAGACTTAGGTTGACCCTGAGCAAGGGCCAGATAAATGACCTTGGACGGCTGTATCCGGCCCGCGGGCCTTAGTTTGAGGACCCCTGATGTACACTAACAGTATCCATTAATTAAACTCCCTTGACTCGTAATCCACTGCCCCCCTACACTGCCCTATATCCCATGATCTTATCCCAGATTATCTGCTTTAAACGGGATTATATGAGTCTCCACTACCATATAATCTGGGATAATCAGAATGATATGGGATCAGATCCTGGGATATAAAAGCAGTGAGGAAAGGACCTGGGAGAGAACTGTGGGAAGGGAGATCCCTTATGCATATGCAAAATGAAGGGACAGTGTAGTGTGGAGGAAGGACAACTTTAAATGCATACTTAAGAGGAGTTATGAAGTTGTAAAACAATCTGAATCATAGGGTTGTTGTAGGTTTTTTCGGGCTATATGGCCATGGTCTAGAGGCATTATCTCTTGGCGTTTCGCTTACATCTATGGCAAGCATCCTCGGAGGTAGTGAGGTCTGTTGGAACTAGGAAAAAGGGTTTATATATCTGTGGAATGACCAGGGTGGGACAAAGGACTCTTGTCTGCTGGAGCTAGGTGTGAATGTTTCAACTGACCACCTTGATTAGCATATAATGGCTGACAGTGCCTGGAGCAAACTTTTGTTGAGAGGTGATTAGATGCCCTTGTTTGTTTCCTCTCTGTTGTTGTGCTGTTGTAATTTTAGAGTTTTTAAATACTGGTAGCCAGATTTTGTTCATTTTCATGGTTTCCTCCTTTCTGTTGAAATGGTCCACATGCTTGTGGATTTCAATGGCTTCTCTGTGTAGTCTGACATGGTGGTTGTGAGAGTGGTCCAGCATTTCTGTGTTCTCAAATAATGCTGTGTCCAGGTTGGTTCATCAGGTGCTCTGCTATGGCTGACTTCTCTGGTTGAAGTAGTCTGCAGTGCCTTTCATGTTCTTGATTCGTGTTTGGGCATTGCTGCGTTTGGTGGTCCCTATGTAGACTTGTCCACAGCTGCATGGTACACGGTAGACTCCTGCAGAAGTGAGAGGATCCCTCTTGTCCTTTGCTGAACGTAGCATTTGTTGGATTTTCTTGGTGGGTCTGTAGATAGTTTGTATGTTGTGTTTCCTCATCAGCTTCCCTATGCAGTGGTTCCCTTGATGTATGGCAAGAACACTTTTCTTCTGGGTGGATCTTTATCTAATCTGAATCATATCCAGCCAGAGGTTAAAAGAAATACAATTTTCCTAATGCAACTAACAGCTCCCAGCTATTCATGATTGTTTCTATGGATCTGAGATGTTCTTGAGAAACTGGAACTTGGGCTTCATGCCATCCCAGGATAGATTTAAGGTCTGACCCCTCCCCCAACCCCTTCCCTAAATATAACTTAACTCAGTACTTCACTAACCCTTT